TCAGCCTCGTGGTGGGCTCGTTTCGATCTCTCTCCATGTGTTGTGTCAAAGCAGAGCGCTGGCCCTTGAACATGCCGATATTCTTTGGGCTCTGGGTCCTTCGTCTGATACGTCCTTCGGGACTCCTCTCATCTTGGCTCCTCTTGTCCGACTTCCCTGGAAGGTCGGTGAAAGTGCCTTCCGCTCCTGGTGTGCTAAGGGACTTCGGGGATTGCTCTTCTTCCCTTCTTCTGTGTATTAGTTGCGGGCATCGGCGTATCCTGCAGCGGGTATGGTGGCTGCATGACATTATTTTGCATCATAAAGTTGATGACCGACTGAAGGTCTGCCAACTTGTTTGCCAATTCTTTTACTTTCTCATCCCTCCGTAGGCACCTATCCCTCCATACCTGAAGGTTATCTTCGTTATAGTACTTGCCTTGTTCTGTCCTCTTCGAAGTGTCGCCCTCCTGGCCGACGTCTTTCGCGCTGTGGGTCTGGTCATGAGTTTCTGCATTGTGGTTGTCTCCTTCAATGTCAAGGTCAATTGGTCTGTCACTCCCAGCAGAAGTGTCGCCCCCAATGTTTTCCTTCTGTCCGTTACTGGCCATCTATTCTTCTAAGTTTCCCACAGACGGCGCCAAATTGTGTAGGTGATTTTCTGACCACACTGCCCGCTTAGTAACCAGCTGGAGAGCACTGACAGAATAGATGGCACGTAGCTAACCTGCAACAGAAAGAGAAGATTCCGGCGGTGGTTCGTTCACCCGGGGGCACTCCGACGATCAAGTCAGTATATCTCTCAAAGATAAATTAAGTGCTTAAACTCACAAGCTTGAGTATCAAAAGCATAAAACTGCGTACCTTAGACCCACGGGGTACCTCTCTTTTATAGCCAACTCAATCCTGATCCCACTAGAAGCCTGACTTCTATAGACTCTCATTCACTGTTTACTTTGGATTTCTCAAGAGATAAGGATAAACTCCCTAAGAGTTTTATCCTTATCTTAGCTAAGTCTTCTCTTTACTCTAGGACTCTTGTCCCTTATCTTTTATCCATTTATCTCGGATTCCGATATCTTCGGAGATAACCTCGGCCTTGCCGAGATAACCTCGGCGTAACAACCAAGACACGTGACACTTCGGCTGACACGTCGGCGTCACTTTATCACGTGTTGGTATTCAAAAAATATATCCTCACACGCTCTATTTACATTAGTTTTGGTTTCTTTAACTTTATTAAAGATAGATCAATATAATCAATGGCTTTTTTTGGTTTTCTTTTTAGAAACAGTTTTGTAATTTTTTTAAAAAAAATAAAAATGAGTTTGATAAAAATAATTTAATTTTTAAAAAAAATTATTTATACATTTCAAAAAGATAAAACTATAAGAAAATGATCAATATTTTTTTCACCAAATTAAATTCTAAATTAAAAAAATAATAATAAAAATCAAACCAAAAAGAGGCTTTGTAATTTGCCAAAAAAATCCACTATAAACATATTCGGTCACATATGACATGTGATGTGAGACATACGGGGTGAGCTGTTAAAGCGAGTACATGTACATGTGTGGATTGGATTGAATCCATATTTCTAGTTTGGAGTTAAAGTTAAAAATGATTCAAATCTAATGATTGATTTGACTGTATGTTTGAATGGGCTGAACTAATCAGGGGTTTAGTTCTTTTCAAGCTTATCAAAACCTACATTTTTTGTTGCTTTTCTTGCTCATCCCAGGCTACCATTTGTCCCTTTAATTCCCTAATAAATTTACCAAAATGCAATTAGGGTCATTGTCATACATTTCTAATGCCCTCTTTAATTTAATGAGTGAATGTAGTGGAACAATCACACATTCACACGCACACATAAATTAAAAAATAATGTTAAGAAAAAGTATTTAGAAAATGATTAGATTTTCCCCAATTAGCTTGATCAATTGGACGGTTTTGTTGGGTTTGAATAGGCTTGTAACATGATAAGCCTAACTATTCACTTGTAGTGTTCTTTGAGTAGATTATTCATACAATAAATTAGATTGATCGAAAAATCGTAACTATATGATTAGATTACATTTATTTTCAAAATAATGAATTCAAAATCATATTTAATATAATCCAATTCCTTTAGAAGAAAAAAAAATGTTTAGAATTAAAAATATAAGGATCAAAATTGTTCTGATTGTGACACACATCATAAACCAAGTAACCCTAGATTTACCATATTTTTATTATATTATATTTATGAGATGATAAATATAATATAATTAATTAACATTATTATGTCAGGATATATAACATTTTATAATAAATAAATATGTACATTAAACAAAACAGATATTCCATGTTTGGTTCTTCTCAACTTTATATATATAAAGATATTATAGTGTTATGCATAAGAAGGGGTGTTTTAAACTTTGAAAAGGAGGAGGAAGTGGAGTATTGGATGGGCATGGAGAGAGAAAGAGAGAGAGAGAGAAAAGCCATAGAAAATGGAGAAGGAAGAAAGCATGCCGGAGAGGGAGGAGTGACAAAGACCACACGCTGTATATTCCTTCGAGAAAGAGGAGATTGTGGGCTCTATTAAAGTGGGCGCACGACCATTACTCTAACATAAAGCCATTCCACTTTTCCTTCTTTTCTTCCTTTTTTTTCCTTCTCTCTCTTTCCTTTCCTATTTTATTCGGCTTAAATTTTACTGAATTAGAAAAATCAGTTGTCTCAGTGGTCTATATATCTCTTTTTTTAGACAATAAGTAGGTTATAAATTCAGAATTTGAATCGATAGAATAATTGTAATTATAATTTAATTTACTAATCCATTAACATTATATCGTTTGTCACTTCCTTTTCTATTTGTATATGTCTAACAGCATTAGACATCTTTTATCTCCAAAATTCATTCCTCTTTCTATTTGACATATTTTGAGTGAGTTTGGGATCTCACTAAAAAAAATTATTTATTTATTTGTCTTTAGCTAATATTTTTTTCAAATCTTTTTAATTTTTAACATAAAACCAACCATCTAAAAAAAAATCATGTAGAACTTAAAATTATTTTTTTTTTATAAAAAAAAAATCCATAAAAAAAGGTCAACAAAAATTACTAAAAAAGTCAATATGTATAACGTAGTGTAAATTGAAAATGATTTATAAATAAATAAAAAAAATTACAAAAAATATTCAATCAAATTGTTGTTTCAATAATATTCTAACAATTATAAATTATAATAATGGAGATTGAACAGTATAAAGGTGGCATTATCCATTTCAAAATATAAGAATCTTTTATTTCCGATGTATCAAAAAATATATATATAAGAATCTTGAGGCACAACTGAAGTAGGAGATTAAGAAATTTGAGAATAAAGAATTCCCAGTATGCAAAGAGATAGAGAGATACAGAGATAATAATGCAATAATAATCATATCCATGTATCAAAATATATTTATTATTTTATTTATTTACTTCTGTATTCAATTAATAAATGTTACCACTCATCTAGTTAGTGATAAACAAAATGTGACATATTGATAGAAAGAAAATACTGTCTCTTTCAATCTCTACAGAGTGGGAGAATCCAAGATAATTATATAAAGTGTCCAAACAAAAGGGGTTCAAGAACATTGCTTTTTACCCTCTGCTGGCTCTGCCAATTATCCCCTCATTTCTGCCTGAAAATTACTCTTCACACCAACTTCTTTTTTATTTAACCTGCATAAAAAAGAAAACAGAAAAAAAGGGGGGGAGAAAGAAAAAAAAAGAGAGGCACTTGCATGAATAATTTGAATGAATAAGCAGTCATAATTTTGTCTCATAAATAAATAAATAATTAATATATTACACAACAAATGACAACTCACTGGCACAACAATTTACTTTTGGTTTTAAGGCTTTAATCATTAGGAAGACAATTCTCTTTTTAGAGATGAGATTTATCAGTAGGGTTTTCTTAGATTATTTATTTTCTAGTTGCCAAGAAGAATCTAATAAGTTGTACCAGCTGCCAAACTTTCCAAAACTGCATGAAAGAAACACAAGTTCAGGTAAACCCTTTCTAGTAAAAAGCTAAAATAAGGTTCATTGAGATTCAAAAAAATCAAGTCAAAAAGACAAGATTGGTTTGCTATGTCTAACAACCAAGCTTAGACGTCAAACTTGAGTTAATCATGGCTTGTTTCCACCATCAATTTCCAAATATTATTTGAACAAATTACGTATTTTTTTAAAAAAAAAAATTAATCTATATAGTGTAGTTGTATTAATTTTGTCATTTTAAGTTTTTATGTTGTGCTGATTTTATCAAATTGATAATTTCGACTAAAAATTTTTGTGAAAATCAAAGATAAATAGTCCATTTTACTAGCAGTCACCAACAACCACCATCTTCCTACTCTTCGTAAACCCATTGTTGTCACCACATGATTTGTTCTATATACGGAAACTAATGCACTCTCATTCACCCCCAATCTCTATCTCCTTCATTTTCAAAATTCCATTGTGCTTACCACATGATTTGCACTAAAAATTATTTTTTTTATATGATCGTATAAGAACACAAATCCTATCTATTCCTAAGTATTTCAATTCTGATATCATATCACACATTTAAAAAAAAGAAAAATCTCAAAAACTAACTATTGAATGAACCTTGTATTGCATATTACTTTTATTTTTCATTTTGTACTTTGAGACTTATGCCCAATACCTCTGCTATATTAATATTATCGGCTATATTAATATTATCAATCCCTCAAAAATCTAATAAACTTTTTTTTTTCCTAATTTTTCAACGGTTACAGAAAATCCAGGACGTTATAACTAAAGTCAGTCAAAGAGCATTTTAGTAAATATCCGACAAAATCAGAGTCTTTTCCCCAACATTCTGTCCCTGCCTTCTCTCTTTTCCAACCGTTGGTGTTCAAACATGAGTCAAGTTGCACTTTCGTAATTACCTCCCAAATCCCTGTCCACTTCCTTGCCTTCAAACCCTCCCTCTCTATTTATACAATCAAAACTCCAACTTTCATAACCCTAACTTCCTCTCTCTCACACTTCACCACTTCACAACCTCCTCTCTTCTTTCTTCTTCTCTCTCAAATCCAAGTTTTTGTTCTCTTATGCAACAAATCATTCTATCACTCTTCCAATTTCAAAACCCTAATCATGATATTTAGGTACGTTACAAATGTTTGATATAGTCTTTTTAGTTCTTCTATATGTACAGAATTCAATTACAAAATAAAGAGTTGTATTGAATTCTGTTATTGAATTCCATTCATTCATAAATTTTTTTAGTTTTTTTTTTTTTTCTTTTTATTTCATGGGTATGTTGACAAACCCACACAAACGAATGTGAATATTTATGTGTATGTATATTTTTTTTATCTGAATTATGTTGTACTGACATAATTCTTAACGTTTAAGTTATTGCAGGATGTGAAATTCTTTTGGGTTAATCATTTTTTTGATGAAAAAGTTGCAAGTGCTTTAAACTCTTGATAAAATGAACCTTTTTCTTTTCTTTTCTTTTCTTTTCTTTTCGTGTTTAGTTGCATATTTGTTTTGTTTAATCATCATCTTTTCATTGCTTCCAATCCAAGGTGTGTGATAGTAAAAATCTGTTATGATTGTGACAGAAAATGATCGATCGTATTTTATCAGTGCTCTTTCTTCGTTTAAAGATGGCCAAAAATGGAGCTGAAACAGGCAGATTATCGCTCGTGTTCATGTTCTTGTTCTTTAGCTCATGCTCGTGCACCGACAATGAATTTGAGCTCTTATTATCCATCAAAAGTTCGATGAGCGATCCTTTACAGTCCCTCTCCAACTGGAACCTTTCTCTCCCTTTTTGCCAATGGAAAGGTATCGCCTGCGACAATTCATCTCATGTAGCCAAACTTGAGCTCTCTGGAAAGAACTTATCAGGGAAAATCCCGGAATCAATTTTCCATCTCCCATATATTGAAACCATCGATCTTTCAAGTAATCAGCTCTCTGGTGAAATTCAAATCAATTTTTCTTCTTGTTTGTCGCTGCGATATCTCAATCTTAGCAACAATAATTTCACCGGTCCACTGCCCAAAGGCTCAAATTCGCAGCTTCAAGTGTTGGATCTTTCAAACAACATGCTTTCGGGTAAAATTCCTGAGGAAATTGGATTGTTTTCGGGCCTTGAGTATCTTGATCTCGGTGGAAATGTTTTGATGGGAATAATTCCGAAGTCCTTATCAAATATTACAGGTTTGCAATTCTTGACTTTGGCTTCAAACCAATTAATCGGAGAAATTCCTCGTGAATTAGGCATGTCGAAGAGCTTGAAGTGGATTTATTTGGGATACAACAATCTCTCAGGTGGAATTCCAACTGACATTGGAGAATTGACTTCATTGAATCATCTTGATCTTGTGAATAACAATCTCACCGGTGAAATTCCATCGTCTCTTGGAAATCTCACCAATCTTCAGTACCTCTTCCTCTACCTAAACAAGCTCACCGGTCCCATTCCTCGCTCCATTTTTAGCCTAAAAAACTTAATCTCACTTGATCTAAGCGATAATTTTCTATCCGGTGAAATTCCTGAACTCTTAAATCAATTACAAAACTTGGAAATTCTTCACCTGTTTTCCAACAACTTCACTGGGAAAATTCCAAATGCTATAATCTCTTTGCCTCATCTCCAATTCCTTCAATTATGGTCCAACAAATTCTCCGGCGAAATACCCAAAGATCTTGGAAAGCAAAACAATCTCACTGTTTTAGACCTATCCACCAATAACCTCACCGGGAAAATCCCAGAAAGCGTTTGTGGATCCGGCCAGCTTTTTAAGCTCATACTCTTCTCCAATTCCATCGAAGGCCAAATTCCAAAGAGTTTGAGTCACTGCAAAAGCTTAAAGCGAGTACGGCTTCAAAACAATCAACTCTCTGGTGAATTATCTTCAGAATTCACCAAGCTACCGCTTGTTTACTTCCTTGATTTATCAAACAACAAGCTGTCAGGCACAATCAGTGGAAGGAAATGGGATATGCCGGAGCTTCAAATGTTGAATTTTGCAAGAAACAATTTTTTTGGGGACTTGCCAGAGTCTTTTGGAAGTGACAATCTTGAGAATTTGGACTTATCGGAGAATAGTTTATCAGGCAGAATTCCAGTCAGTTTTGGAAAATTATCAGAGCTAATGCAACTAAAGCTAAGCAAAAACAAGCTCTCTGGTGGCATCCCTGAAGAGTTATCTTTGTGCAAGAAGCTTGTGAGTCTAGACCTTAGTCACAACCAGCTCAGTGGCATAATTCCATCGAGTCTCTCCGAAATGCCAGTTCTCGGCCAGGTTGACTTGTCGGTGAACCAATTATCAGGCGAAATCCCAAAAAGCTTAGGGGAAGTGGAGTCACTTGTTCTAGTAAACATCTCTCACAATCACTTCCATGGGCATTTACCATCCACCGGAGCATTTCTAGCTATCAACACGAGCGCAATCGCAGGCAACAACCTCTGCGGTGGTGACACCACAGCCGGTTTGCCACCGTGCAAAGGCGTGAAGACACCGGTTTGGTGGTTCTTCGCGGCTTCTCTCTTGGTTGTTTTGGCAGCTCTTGCAGTTGTTGCATTTTTTATCGTTTTCACTCGACAACAGAGAAAAGATTTGGAGCTCAAGAGGGTGGAAAATGGAGATGGAGTTTGGGAAATGCAATTCTTCGATTCCAAGTTCTCAAAATCAATAAAAATGGATGATATTTTATCGTCCATGAGGGACGAAAATGTCATTTCAAGAGGAAGAAGAGGAGTTTCCTACAAAGGAAAGTCTAACACAACCAACATACAGTTTGTGATGAAGGAGATGAGTGAAATCAACTCGGTCCCAACTGGGTTTTGGACCGAGTTGGGTAAACTTCGCCATGAAAACATTGCTAGGGTTATCGCCATGATTAGGTCAAAAAGCGTTGGATTTCTGGTTTTCGAGTACATTGAAGGGAAGAGTTTGAATGAAGTTTTTCAGGGACTGAGTTGGGAACGTCGGCGAAAGATTGCGCTTGGAATTGCGAAAGCTCTCCGTTATCTACACTGTCACCGGTCACAAAGTGTCATGGTAAGTGAGCTTTCGCCAGAGAAGATTATCGTGGACGGAAAAGATGAGCCTCACTTGAGATTGAGTCTTCCCGGGAGGACATGTATGGATAGCAAGAGCTTCATCTCTTCGGCCTACGTTGCTCCAGGTTTTTTTTTTTTTTTTAAATAATTTAACTCTATACTATTATTGCATTTGATTTATTAAAAAATTATTTAGTACTCCTGTGATTATATGGCATAGGTTAAATATCCATGTTGTATCTTATTAGATTTGATGTTATTGGTTAATAAAAAATTATGAACAAAAATATAATATTACTATTTTGAAGGTAAAATATATAAATAGTCTTCACAGTATTTCTTATATCATTTTGGTTATCCATGTTTTAAATTTGTGAAATTAATTCCTAACTTATTAATTTTATTATTAAGGGCCCGTTTCAAAAGTGATTTTTTTAGTATTTTCTTTTTAATTTTTGCAATTAAAATATGAGGTAAAAAAATTAAGTAATATATTTAATAATAACTTTTAATTTTTTATAGAAATACATGCAAAAAATAGAGTGAAAGAAAAGGAATTTTTTATTTTTTTTTGTATGAGTTGAATTTTTTTATTTTTTTAGTCATTTTTTTTGGGTTAAAACAACCTTTACCCAAACAGACCCTAAATAGTCCCTATACCTCTCTTCGTCTTCAATTGATAATATGACAATTTCATTAGATCACCTATGATATTGAACAAGTTGGGAACAAATTAATACAATCGAAATATTAAGAACTAAAATAAAATAAATCACATACTTTGATTAAATCATAAATATTTAATCATGTCTCCAAATTTTCACATTTCAATATGTGCTACAATGTGACAATATGTGCTACATTTGACAATTCCACGTACGTATGTTCATTTCCATGCACGTGTTATTTACAGACTAAGGTGTATTTTCTACAATTGATTGCAGAAACTAGAGAAACCAAAGACATCACAGAGAAGAGTGATACCTATGGATTTGGCCTCATCTTGATCGAATTACTCACCGGAAAAGGTCCTTCTGACACTGAAATTGGCGGCACGCATGAGACCATCGTCGAATGGGCGCGTTACTGCTACTCCGATTGTCATCTTGACACGTGGGTTGATCCAACGATCAAGGAACACGGATCAAATAACCATAACGAGATCGTGGAGATCATGAATCTGGCTCTTCACTGCACCGCCAGCGATCCGATGGCTAGACCATGTGCAAGTGATGTTGTCAAAACCCTAGAGTCTGTTATCAGACCAAGTTCTTGTGTTCTAGGCCTCAAGTGTTCTTCTACCATCTAGTGTTTTTTTGTTTTTTTTTTTTTGGTTAACTCATATGATTTTTGTTCAGCTTTTTTATTATAAAGAAAATGCTATACATAAACAATTTTTTTACTTTATTTTCTTACCATTAGACACATACATTTATTATCTGTGTCTAATGATAAAAAAAAATTAGTAAAAAAATTGTTCATGTATAGCATTATCTGTTTTCTATTATAAGGTATTAATTGAGTGTTAATTATATGTTTTGTCTAAGGTTATGATGACATAATACTGAGTGTAAAAATGTAGATAGAATGAAATGCCATTATATATGAATTACAGCTTCTTGATCTAAAAGGTCTTCTGTTTTTTACTTTTACTATTTACATTTTGGTGATTTCGGTTTTATATGACCAGATTAGATTAACATTGCAAGCAAAGGATTAGAGCAAAGTAAAAGGTGAGAACCAGTGTCAAAGTAAATAATTTGCCTTATCAAAATGCTATCTCCGAAAGTTACTTTGAAAATTGTTCGGAATTTGAAATTTGCCATATAGATTGTTGTTGTAGGGTCACAATCAAAATGAATATTATTGTTAAATTATAAATTATAGTTATTTTTTTTATAAATAAAATTCATCCAGTGACATATATATATATATATATATTCAAGATAGACCAAAAATTTCAGTTTCAAATGGGTGCACTCCAAACTCACGCATGCCATGTATTTGAGTTCAAAGGTTATATATATATATATATATAAGCTCTCAAAGTGGAGAGTGAAAAGTGCCACACAAAAAGTGGCTCTGCTTTTGAGCAAGTGGCTGCCTGCCAAATCTCTTGGTGGACTGGTCATCCACTTAGAAAACTCCAACAATCTCAGTAAATTTATCAAGTTGATGAGTTCTCTGATCAAGATTTTCCTAGTTTTAGATCATATGCTGTATATATGCTCATATCATCACATGAAAACACTTGGTTTTGATCATTGGCTTTTACAAGATATAAGAAATGATCCAGATGCTCTTTCTATGATATTTGGCATATATATATGAATACTAAAAGGAAACATTCTCTTTTCCATATTCAAGTGAGTGGAGATCCCACTGTAAGAATTCATCCTCTCTCTCTCTCTCTCTCTCTCTCTCATGAAGTAAAAATGGTAAGTGGGTAAGTGGAAGTTGAAAAAAAACTAAAAGATATTCTTTCTTTTACCTGTAATCATACTGAGGAGAGCCAACACTTTCATGTGAAGAGAAAAAAGGAAAAAGAGTTGCAAAGAAAGAAGATATACCTTTTTGACACTCCATACCCCCATAGCATAGATTGTCAGTTATTTCTATTCATATGTTGTTTTCCTTTTTGTTCTCCTTGTTTCAAAGTGGCATTTGTCATTGGATTTTTCATGGTGCTCTCTGCTTTGCTTCTTCTTACCCGTCTGTTTCTGCATTAGTTGTTTGATCTTCAGCACTTGTTCTGTCCTAAGAAGTACGGGCACTTTTAAAAATGTGACGTGTATCCATGTCGTATGTGTATCGGACACCGACACTTTTTGGACACTTTTAGGATACGTGTCTGACACTATTTAAAACGTGTTTTATTTTTTAAATTTTTTTAAAGACTCGGACACTCTTTGAACACTTAGAAGATACACGTGTCAATTGCTTAAACACACGCGTCTATCGATTAGATATGTAAAACTAATTATAAGTTTGAACAAAACAATTTAAGATACAATAATAAAACAAAAACCATATAAATTTATAAAAATTAGCATCATATTCATTTTTTTTTAATCTTTGAATGATATATTCATATGTATAATATATAATAAATATATAAAATTATATATTTCATGCATATTCTCCACGTGTCATGTCCTGTATTTTTTGAAAATTAATGTGTCGGCGTGTCCGTGTTCATACTTCTTAAGTTCTGTCTGTCAAAAAATGAAGATAAAGTGACAGATTCTCTCTCCATTTTCCAGATAATTCCATGGTGTGCAACAAAATTTTTGAGTCAAGACAAACTACCTACATTTTCTAAGTAAGCTCATAGATATCATGGTTTAAATATTAGCCGACACCTACATATTGGTCAATACTTATTGGGGTTTTGCCTTTCTTATACTGATACATCCTAATATAACAGTGGAAATGAAAATCAAATGTGTAACGATCGATTATCACACATATTGGTTTATAGCCGATTCACAACCAATACAAGTTTTGTTGCTATAAAGTTCTTTTTCGTGATTGATGATTTTTATAAAATAAAATAAAAAATGTAACCAACACATCACCTAACTATCAATATCTATCACTCAATACTCCTGATACAATAATTTAAAACATTATCAAGATGCAATCCTCAAATCTAAAATGTTTGGTTCAAAAGGCCATCAATTTTGACAGTTTAGCTATACATGTTTGCATATTTTTGGGACCACTTGATCAAGCTGAACCTTAAATCTTGATCTCCCAAAGCACTCAACATTAAGGAACTTGTATCATTCCCCAACATGTTTTTATCATGAAAAGATCCACAAGGTAGTTGCCCACATACCATCAAATAATCAATTAAAATTTGAGAAAATTACAAATTAGTGCAGAAAATAATTGCAAAAAACATGGTGCAGATGAGTCTTTTGGGTACAAATAAAAACGGTGCCCTAAAACACAACTCTCAGTAGCACCGGACTTTTTTTTTTTTATTAGCAAAAGATAAATTTTATTGATGAAACAAAAGAGTATTACATCAATAAAGGAAACGATGAGTGCAAAGAGCATCAAAACGAAGCAAACCAATCCCAACTAGGTTGGCACCGATAAGTCCGCCTTATCATCTCAATATCACTCATCGCACTCACCGATAAGTCCGCAAACCAATCTCAGTAGCACCGGACTTGCACCTCCATAATTTTATAATTACTTACTCTAATTTGCAATTTCCCTTAAAATTTCACAATACAAGCTTTTCCACTGGTTCTTATACAAAGCACAAATCAAGGAAACTCAATGGTCCATGATCAACAGTGATGAGATGAGAGGTCAATAGCTAGGCACCAAAAAATTCTCATGTGGTAGGGGACCAATGTGTGGCCTGATGATAATCTTTGTCCCATTATTGTTGGATTGTTTTCACAGCGAAAGAAGGCAAAATATTACTCTATGAAACACAAAGCTGCATGTAATAAAAGCTTGGTTATACAGTGAAGAAGACACACCTTTATACTTCAACCTCACATTTTCAATGTCTCTACCTTTACATCATCACATACAATATAGTCAAAGGGTTTTGTGTATACAAGTACATAAACCTAAGAATTTAACAGCTTTCTCGTAACCCGAGCTATCGATCACTGAAAAGTTGACAAAAATAAAGATAAAGTTGTAGTAACTCATCACACATGGTCTTAAAAAAAACTCATCACTAATGGTTCAGAATATTTCACTACCTACTACTGTAACTCAAAGCTCTTCAAGTCAAAAATTTGAAAATAAATGGCCTAGTTTATTCAAATAAGTTAACATATACAAGTTTAATCATGGAAAAGCATTAAGAATGTATATATCAGCACAATGTGCCCAACTCTAGTGAAAGTAATCTGAAACTTGTGGCAAACCTTATTTCACTGATATGTACATTCATAGTACTTTTTATGGTTAATTTGTGTATATAAACTTACTCAAACCAAATCTAAATTAAGAATATCCAGTATTTTGAGTCAAGTGAATGTTTAACTCAGTGGAATATAACAATTGTGCTTTCTTTTTGGCTTGTGTGATACATTAGTGTACCCTAATTAACTTTTCTCTTAAGCTATAAGCTCAATTTGGCTAATTTTTTTGTTTTATAAACAAAAAATAATAATAATAATATTCTAAGTTTGTTAGCAAAAAAAAATAAAAAAATAAAAACAGAACGCTTGGCACACTGCTGAACAAATTGAGTATAATTTACATTCTTTTAGGATAATCAATCAAGCTGCGACCTAATGATGCAATCACATTCTTGATCCAATAATTGTTCCAACGGTGCAATTTTAATAGTCTCTATTTAGGTTTCTAAGATTTGAATATGACCTTTTGTAGCTTCTGTGGTACTAATATATATAATTCAAAGATCACCAGCAATGATTAGGAGAGGAGTTGGAATTCTTTTCGACTCAATTGATTGACATGCTTTTCCATAATGAAGCAAGATTTAATTTGAACATATAACATCATATCTAGTTGAGTTGATGATGACTATTTTATTGTCATGCTTTAATCCTGCCAATTTTTTTTAGAATTTTTGTTGAACCATGATTCAAAAATGGAATTACATGATTTCCGACAACCACAGTAAAATAATTTGTGACTTCCCTAACAAAGATTACTTCCCAAATTTTTGTTTGCATAATTGATTTATCACCCAGAAGCTCCATAAAAAATAAAAACATAAAATAAAATAAAAATACTCTAAATCTGCAGTAATAAACTCATACTTAAAATAAGCTAAAAAAACAAGGGAATACAACAAGCAAACAAGCTAGTCATATGCTTTTGTTTTGTTTTTTTCTGCTCTTTATGTAAGAGTTAAATATGTTGGGGTAGCGTGGATTGTAATATGTTCTCGACACTAACTACTTGACCCAAATTTAGAGTAAGGGTATTTTTTATATTTTCGCACTTATGAATAGTTACACTAATTCTATATATATATATATATATATATATGTAGTTGAGGGAGGAGGGTCAATTGTGTCTTAATCTCACGTAACTTTTCCAATCACAATGAAACTGCAACAAACATGGACATAATCTCAGTTTTGGGATAAACTACCGAAATCTTTGTGTTCATGTGTGTCTTATTTACAGCTCTTTTGCATTTGTTCTTCTCTGTTTTTCATATCTCACTAATTTTAATTAGGTGTTATAAATTCCTAACAAAAATACTAACTGTCAATTTTTATTTTTTTTTTATTCCAATGTTTGCTCAAGCAAGGATGGTTTCCACTGAGGTCAAAAGGAGCATTTTATGATGGGCCTCATCCCAACCAGTGCTCTCATCAGCCACAACACTTTCTTGTGAACCCATTTTCCTTTCTCTGCTCTAATGATGATATTCTTGTTTTTTCTTTCTTTTATCCCTTTTTTTTTTCTTCTATTCCCTCTTAGCAATGATGGTTGTGACAAACATCCTTTTCACTTTAGCTCAATGAGAACTCATGGGGGGCTTACATAGTTAGAAGATTCCATCCTTAAAGATCAGTCTAAACAAATAAAATATAAACTAGCTGACATTATGAGAAAAACCAGCTAACTTTGGTTGGCAGAGATTTGATATTTCAATTTTTTTTTTTTTCTTTTTTGTTTTAAAGCCTGAAGATTTCAATTATGGTCCTTGGAGACCATGCAAAAGGCTCTTTGCTCTCCTTCTTTCCATTAAAAAAAACTCATTTCTCCCAATATTGTAGAGACAACTTCTTTGGTTAGAGGGTCAAAAGTGCTGAATGTTCACTTTGTAGGTCACACATCTAACATTTTTTATGACTGTTCCTTTCTTCAAAGACAGCTGGTTTTGTTTTTTGAGAGCCTATGAAAAAAATTAGGGGAACTGAAAAAGTATCTTGAAAGGTTGTAAAAAGTTGTGTGATATAGATTCAAATTTAGTAATCATATAGGTTACACGCAAAATGAATCTAGTCTACACATTTCATTTTCTGATAATTTTTTGAGTAACCTTTTTGGATTTCGTAATATTGTTGATTATAATAACAATAATTGGATAACAAGAGCGATCCCTCGGAATGTGTAACACCAACCCACTTGACACAATCTATGGAGTCTGAAGTGGGGGAGAGATATGGTGGACAATGAGTTGGTTGTGCAGTTTGACCAAGTTGTATATATTTCGAAACCCTAGAGATATGCTAGAGCACTTTTGTTTGTCACCACTGCATTCACATGCGTGCAGTCAAAAGTATGAACAAATATGTATATATATTCACATACATACTGATAAGCTTGATACATCCATGTATTTACTTGTCAATAATTCATGCAACAAATTGATAGAGTTCACTGTATGATGCATCTATTGAATCACATCAATCTTACAATAAGGTAGTCAGCACATTGATTACTTTCCCTAAGAGTATGCTTTATAGTGCAGCAACATCTTTGTAACAGAAATCTTGAATTTTCAAATATAGTATGCGAGAAAAATTACAAGTGCATCATCTTGAATAAGTTGTTGGGAGTCAGAGAGGGCACTAGAACAAACTAAGCTACTCGACTTCTAGTGTTCGACTCGTTAAAAACTCGTTTGGAGTCTACTCATGTAAATAAACTAAGTTTGAACTTATTTTGATACACGTTAATTTTCCTAGTTTAGCTCAATAAGTTTATATACACGGTAAAAAAACATGCTACTCATGCTATGCTCAATTAAAGCTCGTTTCAAATCGGCTTAAAATGTAAATAAATAAGTCAAGCTCAAACAAATTTTCAAACTGCTAGCCCTAGAGTGAGATTACACTATTACTTTGTGCATATGCCTTTCTGGAGACAATAGATTTGCTCTCTATTTAGTGGGGAACAAATTGGATTTATTAGAACCATAGACAACACACATGACTTCAACTTTAGGGGAGCAAAGGTTGGAGAATGGTTAAATCCATAAGACACAGACAACGCATCATGGGGTAAAATGGACCCAAAGATATTCCAAGCATTTAAAAGTACAATCAAATTGATGGTAAGGATGGTTCAATATCATTAGAAATGACATAGGAATGATATTATGGAGTTTGATTGAAATTAAAAGAAGGGTATTGGATGGACTAGTGGCCATTCAACAATGGACTTCAAAAGATTTAAATTTGAAGTGGTTATACATACCATAGAGTCTTATGATCATGAATTGATGGGTCTAAAGAGAAAAAAATTAATGATTGAAGGCGATCAGTGCTGTAAGGGAAACATCTCTCTCAATTCATTATTATGATCTTCAATAAAGCCTTACATAAAGACTTTGGAAGTGGAAGAACTTGTATTGAAAAGGGAAAACAGTGATTCAAAATCAACAGAGAAAAAAAACAAAAACATGAAAAGGAAAGAATTTGTGTCATTTCATCAAACCTTGTCATTTTTTAGTAGGAAACTATCCTTGCAAGGGAAAAGTATTGGGTGGTATATGATCACCACTTCAAGCAGGCCTGAAATCTCACCTTTTCATCTTCTTGAGGTGGTGAATAAGCCAAGTGCTTGAAGCAATAAAAATTGGAACTATTGGAGTGGACATCCATGATGTGATTAATTAGCTGAAAATAAGGCGCTATGTCCCTCTGATGTTTGATACTTGAGTGACTTACCATTTTATGTTTTGTTCTTATTCACAAAAGGGAAAAAGAGAGGAATTATTCATTCTCTCTGTCAAAAAGTAAATAATTTCATGCCATTTTCAATATTCCAGTCAATATTTCCTTTTAAGAATATCATAAGATGTTGTACAAAAGATGAAAATTGCAATATTTCCTTTTAAGAATATCATAAGATGTTGTACAAAAGATGAAAATTGAGAGGACAGACATAGTTGATGGCAATAAAATTGCATAGAGCTAATTATGGGTTAGCTAATCAGAATATAGGGATTAATCATAAGATTCTCAAACATTATAGAGTTCATCAAAACCTAATTATCAAGCTTATATTATTATATACTACTAAATCCTTTAGTGGCCATATAATCTCTCGCTCATTTGAAAATTTATCAATTGGTGCATTCATGAGATACTTAATTCTTCTATCATTCTCCTTCAAAGATCAAGTAAACTTTTAGCATTTTTGGTCATGTGGAAAGATAATCATAAAGCTAAGGCAGATAGCTATCATAATTATGAGAAAAAAAACACTATCATCATTTTGGTAATTAATATTTCATGTCAAACTAGAATCATAATATCAGGGATGGCTCAAGTTCATTTGGAACCTAAGACATAAAAAAACTACAATGAAAGATTAAGAGAATTCTTCCTACTTTTTAACTGTTAATGTGATTGCAAATTTATATTTACAATATTAAAATACATAAAAGTGAGGCATCTTAGTGTCAGGGCCTAAGGTGGAAGTCTTATTTGCCTAACACTCGAGCTGCTTGTGCATAATATGTTGTTAAAATGAATCAGAGGCTTGTGTTGTGCTTTGTGGGATGGTTGATGTGTTGTGTTTCTCGCAATATTTTGAGTGACAAAATATGAGGATTGTGCTATGACTTCAACCATTGGAATAATGGATTCATTGTGCTTATATGTGTCTTGGTATGTTGAGTATTCTTCTTACGGGACAATCTTTACCATTCGATTTCACCAGTAATATTATGGCAAGCTCTTATTAAGTTTAGAGCAATAATGCTACTCAGCAAACTCTCAGCCTAGACGTAATAGATGTACCGTCTCTTGATTTTAGATTAGCTTTCGTAGTATTTTTTTAACCTTTTAAGAAGATTTAAAAAGAAAATAATAATAAAATACAACAACAACAACAACTAATTTGGGAACTAATTAAAAAGGTTACTTTTTTGTGAGTGAAAAAATTGAATTTTTTTTTTTATTTACTTTTTTTAGTTCATTATTTTAGCCAAAAAGTAACTTTTTTAACTGCATTCCAACCCCCAAGAAATCCTCAATCAAGAACAACCACATCTGTTAATTTCTGACTGAATGGCCAAATATTGGCAGGAGTTTCATTTTTCTTTAAGGATGCTCATAACTTCAAAATAACTTGGAAATTTGAAAATTGAGCTTAGAATACAAAGAATACTGGTACAACATATAAATAAATAAATAAATAAAACAAAATTTCTCATTTATTCCCCCCCAAAATTCTCTCTATTATGTAATAAGGCGTCAAAAGTTTGGAGTGAAATCAACCAGTTGTGGGAGTTATCATGGATGAGTCCACGAAGCATGGAGGGAATGGTTGTTTGGTGGTTTGGATTTAAATATAAGTTTATGATGAAGGATATTTGGGAAGCCCTCTTCTTTGCTGTTTTGTGGACATTATGGATCACAAGAAATAGGATTATTTTTTATAATGAGATTTAATCACACTACCCAAACGTACAAAGCATGTTACCAAATGTACTAATTAATTATTAAAATGGTATTACTTAAATGAGTCAATTATGTAATGGTCAAACTATTAAGTACCAAAATGTGGTACATTCTGCATAATTTAGTAGTTCATTCTCAATATTTGACTGATACATTGAGAAGCATAGCCGAACCTCATTTGTCGCATGACATTTCGTAATTGAATTCCATTTTTAATTAACTTGTGTACAGTTTTCAACTTTTTTCCCTAAGAAAACATCAGTTCTAACCCTACCTAAATGGGAAGAGTCGTTGAAATTATAATTGATCCTCAACATGACAAGATTATCAGCAAATGACATCAATTTGTTTCTTACTTGTTGGGTTTGTTTGCTGATTAGAATTGACAAAAGATTTACTCGTAAATATAACACTCCCTAGAACGTGCCCAATAGAAATATATAACCAGTCCTAAAACAGTTCAGAAAATAAGTTTAGTGTTTTTCAAAAAATGAAAATGAAAATAGAAAAAGTAAACACAACCGAACAGGTTTTCATATCATGTTATCTAGTTGCTATTCAAACAACAGTTCAAGGACATGTTTCTTTTGCAATACTAAGTGGAGATTAAACAATGACATTGGCACAATTAACACGTCTGAAAATAAGATTTTTTCCCCTTCGCTGAGCAATCAGAGAGTTGTTAATGTCATTTAAGTTTAGATATACAATGTGCACACGGATAAAATGCAAAAGAAAAGGCAAAAGAGTATATGAAGATTCATAAATTAAGGTCAGAGCAAAATACAAAGTGTAGGATACCGAGAAATAACCTGAAATGCCTTGAATGCAGCTTGCTTAAACAGCGTGGAGGCACTTCTGGGTCATTCCATACCGGGAGGACAAAAAGGGTGAGATGTTCTAATCTAGTTTTGTTCTAAATCCTATCTTTGTGTTCAGAGCATATCAGACGAAAGACCAGTTGATGAACATGAAGCAGATGCAGTGAGCGGCTTCTTCATCATCCAATACCTTCCAAGCAACTGCTCTCTCATAGGACACCGGCCTTCCCATGCTTGACAAGCAGACACCGCCTTCAAGACAAGCGAAACCCTGCCCAGAAAACATGGGGAGATTAAAGACAAAAGCAATAGACAAACTCAATATTTTGAAGGGGACAAACAATACATGGTTTGAACAGTATTTTACTTCACGCTCAATTGAATAAACCCATAGCAGGAGCCAACAGTTAATTAGCAGCCATGCAATTTGGGAGGCCATGTCCAAGATTAGGTTTTACGTTTTAGACTATTGTGTTTATTAAGACAGCTGGTATTGTCTTAGTCTCGTCAACTATTTCAAGAACTTATAAAAGGTTGAATTAATGCTTTGAGAGTAACAAAGTCAAGAATCGGTGTTAAGCAAGGCCAGCGGTTACAAATGACACTATATGGGTTGAATTAACAAAATATTGAGCCCACTTGACAGTTCTGAGTCCTAGTCAGTCCCAGAACAAGATCATTACCTTAACTCACAATATTAAGGTTGAGGTAACCTATTTCCTAAGAAACCTACCACCAAAGCTCAGGTGGACCTCTCTGAAAATTTCAGTTCCAGTAATGAGGAAAAGCATATATTCAATGAACATGTGGCAAGTCACGTGCCATCACACACTGTGGAAATACAATATGTTTGCTTCTTAAACATTTGGGAATCAAATTTTCTCAACATTTCCATGACAGTAATGGAAGTCCAAAAATGTACTAGACATATTTATAGGTACTGAACATGAATTGCCAATGCAGCGCCCCCATCACTTCAGTGATACACTGAACATCGTTCAAAAAGAAGATGATGATGATGACAACGACGACAATAGTTAGCTCTTTTTTGGTTTTTGGGGAGATTGAGAAAAGAAAGAATATGTGTTATCTTCATCAGATTTCAAAACATCATTCCCTCAAAGTCTCCAACAACCAAATTAAGCTTTAGCAGTTAATTACTCTTTTATAGATTATGAAGAACTGAACCTGCTGCATGATCTGTGGGAGCTCAGAGAAGAGGGTCTTTTTTCCATGGTCATCAAGAATCCTCTCCAAAGCAATGTCTTGAAGTGCTACCAGAGTTGTCTCAAGAAGATCAAGTCCTGCTTGATTTGCAAATGTAAAAACTGGCAATGCCTGCATTAACCATTTTTAAGGTTAGAATGGTCTATTCACAAGCATACTTAATGCTATTTGTATACTCCTAGAAACTAGCACACTCCTTAGATTTGTGCCCCAATTTAAAATTGAAACTTCATGGGAAAATGCTTCTAAGTTCTAAGACTCTCCTCACTATAACCAATATAGCGAATATCTTAACAAGAGTGATGTCCGCATTTCTTGATAATGTGACTCACACACCCCAGATGTGTCTAATATTATTGCTAAAGAAAGATATCACATGCATTATCAACAAAACAGAAGTATGAGGAAATTTCTAATATAAAAAAAGGACACAGTAATAAAGAATTAACAACAATAGACATGGTAATATGGTTCATATACATGACATGATGGAGCTTCTTCCATATTTTGCAATTGCAAATACAAAAATCCAGATAATTAACTTAATTTTCGTCTTTTCTTTTGTAATGCACTTAAAGAAGACACATAAATTTATAATACAGCGCCATGCATGTGTCCTACTTCAAAATGTGTTGGGTCAATGTGTTTATGTTGTGATGTGTCCTTCCCGTATCTATGTTACAAGGCCCATAGGAACAAGTTCGAAGAAAATTGAAAAATAACCAAAGATTAAATTACTTTGGAGAGGCAACATTTTACACATCGATAAAACAATAGCAAAATATTTAAAAGAAATGTGTACAAAACCAAGTTTAAAAAGAAAATGATATGGTGGAAGAGTAACAATAATCATAGTTTCAAATGGAACATGGAATTCAGTATAGATTTATTATGATTTAACATTAGATTTATAATATTCAAAAGAAGATACTTATGTAGATGTCACACACACACACACACACAAAATGTGAGATATTTTTATGAAATTTAAATTGTAGAAGGATAGCAAATAGAAAGTTCTTAAGTTGTAGTTGTGTCTTAACTAAAATTTTCCCCTCATATAGTGAAATTACTTGTGACCCTGTGGTCCAAACACCCTAATCCTCTTAATTTTATCTGTCACGAGTCAAACAAGATCTTAAGTCAAATGCATATACTTTGAGCTTACTCTTCTAAGTAGAAATCCTTCATGAAGAATGGAATATGACTTAATTGAAATAAGTTAAATTGTTGGTGGCCGCTACTTGCGTATTATAGCTCTGTTGTTGACTACAAATGGAATTGAAAAAACAAGAGTGATCAACCCAAATGCATAGCAGTGTATCAATTGTCTAAGCTAGTTTGTTTTCAAAGTGACAAAAACAGGCAAGGCTCTAAATAACACAGAACATATTGTTGTACATGTTTACATTGTTCCCATCCTCAATATTCACAATCACACAATTCAGCAGGTAAAGAAAGAATTACGTTTTAACTGGTTGACAAATAAATAAATGTTACACAGCAAGGGTTATTTCTAAAAAATCATAAATGAAGAACATTTAGACTTCTGCAAATACAGAGAACAGAAATTTGTTATAAAATGAGAAGTTAAACAATCAAAAGAATACCTTCAAAGAGCAACACATCACAGCATCTGAGTGATGCCAAAGTGTCTTGAGAATCGATTCACTTCCTTCATTAACAGGTTTAATTAGCTCCACACCTAAAAAGCACCTGTCAAAGAAGCAATCAATGAACCTTAACTGTCATGGACACTAACTCCTGTCATGTACATCGAATGTCCAAAGTGCTTCTATAACTTAAGTATCAGAAGATATGTTGCTAGCAAGTCCAGTTCACTCACAAATAATAAATTGGGTCAGAGGTGGTCAATTGTACTAAGGCAGTGTTGTCCAAGCTTCTGAGACAAACTACGGAGATTTGATAAGGATGGTCTAAACAGTCCTATACTATTTTAATGTTACCTTAACAACATATTTTCTTACCCACAGATTACCAATTCAAATTAAAACATACTGGAATCTTTTTCTGAAGAAAATTATCATTGCTTCCACATAAAAACCAAACCAGCCTCTTCACTTATACATGTATATATCCATCATAGAAGTACCAAAAAATAATCAATAAGCTCCAAAGAAAGGAACTTCATAACCAAATATCAGATTTGATCTAATCTTTCCTTATCGAATCTAGCATGACTCAACTTAATCGCGAAAGTCAAACCAAAATTCTCGTCACCATAAAACAGCTTCCATGCATGATTTTATAAAGGACCGAATATCAGTTTCCTTGTGGTAAATTTCACTATTCTGGCCAGCATGCAGAATGTCAATTGTAAGCAATGTTTCTCACCTCACACTCATAGTGAAATATATTCAAATATGAATTCTAATTATGACATGGACTTCAACATGTTGCACTCAAGTAAGAACCATATCTAAGTCGCAAAATAAATGATCTGAAAACACACCTGTAGCTGAGACAGATCCAACGAGCAACTGTGTGTGCTTCTGGAGGGACTGGGGGTGGCCGCAAACCAACATCAGAACTAAAACGAGAAGGGTAGAGTGCCAATGCCACCCTCTGAACAGATGCTATGATGCTTCGCACATACAGACGAGCCATAGCTGCTATATTTTCCTGAAGGTGAATCTCAAATGCAAATTGAAATGCTATTGTCATAACGGATTTTCCACTCCCACCATGGCCAGAATAATCACCGGACCCTCTATTTCCAGTTGGTCCAACCTCAAGAGCAGATGCAAGATCAAGTGTACGATTTGGACTAGAGGCATCCTGCATCATCTTGAAGATTTGTATTAAGGAATGAACTCAACAGAGGGAAGAGCCTAAAAGAACCCATCTTTAGGTTATATCAGACAAGAGAAACACTTACCATCCCAGAATCAAGAGGAATGATGCGAAAACCAGATGGTAGAAGAGGCGCATCATCAGAGAAAGAGGCATCAATTGGAGCAAAGATGAGTTCTGCACAGGCACCAACGGCATTCTCGTCTACTCCACTACAAAGCTGGGGGATCAAATTAACCGGGAGAAGTAAGCATAAATGCTGATTATGATTTTTATGTGCTTGATAATCATAAAATGATTATAGTTACTACAAAATACTTGTGCTATATTTGGTTCACTGAAATGAAAGTAAAATGGGATACAATGCCCATTCCTTAGCCTCCCTACAGAATGACCATTCACTTACAATGGGTGAATGATGATTCCATTCACAATATATTTTTCATCATTTTTCTAGTGAACCAACTGTGAGAATGACCATTCTGATGGAATGATCATTCCATTCCACCTCCATTCCAATGAACCAAACACTACCTTAATGCATGAACATAACTGTGTGAGCCTATAACATTTTCCAGAAAAGACTGCATTCTATAACTGTCCAACAATAAGACCTGAAGGATGCTAGCATCAATTTTTTCACACATAACAGTAAGACCAAAATGGAACACTCACTAACACGTGGCTCCTAGATTTGTGACCCCCAAAAAAATGATATACGGAAAAGGAGAAGAGACAAAATGTAAACCCTCAGCCGTAGTTTGTTTTATAACTATTGTTGGAGTGAATCTGTTTAACTTACGTTAAGAATAAATTAGTTTTGGGTTTGGGCAATGAATGAATTGGATACCCTACCATTAATGGATTTATTAAATGAGGACTAGTGGCTGACTAATGTGAAACAAAAGCACCCTTTATAAAATTAAGTCCGACTAAAAACTACTATAAAAATTACAAACAAATAGAACTCTTATCAAGGCTGGCAAGTCCTTTCATGAATGCATGAGAGATGTCTACAACAACATAACTTAAAAGAAAGGCCATTGTACAACATTGGTCCTGCCAATGTGGGGTTCCAGGAAAGGTAGTCTTGGAATATTTGGCATTAAGACATCAATTTAGTGGAAACTACTTACTTGCAAAAGAAAGATGTCTCCAGGCATAATCACGTCATCTCGATAGTGGCCAAAATTCTCAAGTTTAATGACCTCCATGAACTGTTTTGAAGAAGTAAAGCTAAATAAGCATACAACAGCTATGTAGGATAGCCAATTAGGAAGATATCTCTCCCCAGTGGTGAAGCAAAAGACATGGTAACATTTTTAGAAGCCATAAATTAGAACCAAATGCTTGCCTCTTCATGCTCAATAGTGTGAGCCAATGGAAGAATAACCTGTCCACCAAAACTTCTGGCTAGAGTCCCAGGCAAACTATAAGGACCAGCTTTGATGGCAGCAGCTGAATAAGAATCAATACCACTGTCTGCCCATTCTGATCGGTGTTCCCGCAAAAATCTGACAAGTATTGCAGGAGGCACATCCTGCCAAAATAGAAAGAAAGCACAACAGAGAATCATGAGAAACATTCTACAATGGAAAGAACAGGACTGGTTAGACAAGAAGAGAACAAAAAAACAAAAAAAAAAAGCACACACCCTAGAACTAGGATTATAACATTCCAGTTCCAAAGAAAAGTTAAACATTTTAGGGACCCATTACAAAATGGTGAAAAATGATTTGGTAAAAATTTGGCTATAGACTGATGAACAGTATATCAGACCAATTTCTAGGATTTTTCTCAATAGGTTCTGACATAGATTTTGCCATCGAATTAGAAGAAATTGATTGTTCATCTTAATGCACATCATGAGGTTGAACAAAATTATTGCAACAACATCAAATAATAGGTACATTATAACACTAACCTCATTTTCATCGTCATCAATGTGATGTGAATGAGGGCAACAATGATGACAAAGAAACAATGCCCTCCTCAAGCCACCCAACAATATAAGTGTTCAGCATTATATTACCATATGTAAATATGCACAACAAAAACTAATCATGGTGCTCACTAGTGTCACAGTCCAACGGTACAATGCTTACACCTCATTTGGTCAAGCAAAGAAATGCGCTACACCATAAAGCATGATCAAATGATTGTGGTTCATGTCTCACACCTAGATATGCTCAACAAAGCGAAATCTCAACAATTGACATCAAAACACATCTTTTTTACCACTTTAAGTGATCTAGATCCATATCACCATTTAAATAATCCCTCACAGAGTCAACCACATTCGCTAGCACTTCAGATATCAAACAAAAATTTAGACTTAAGAAAGTGTTTGTATGTTCCTAATCCCCAACATAACAAGCTAGATTCTGCACTACATGATTAAGCTTTCATTCATTAAATAAGCCTCACTGTCATGTTGGGAAGATTCCTATTGGACATTTGAGGGATTTGGTACCATGATCCTGAAACAAAATTTATTTTCTTGTTGCAACAGTTCTCTAGAAGCCAAATATTTAATCAACCATTATTTATTCACCAATACCCACGTCAGAAAAACAATTAAACCACTAGTGTTCCTGTCTTGCCTCAAGGTCATAACCATACAATGAAACTGCTTTTATGTTCCTGATTCACACTGTATTGAAAGGAACATAAAACAAACGAAGGGGGAAAATCATATCTAAACCTTACTTGTAAAAGCATGGATGCTTTGGCGCATAACACTGCATTGCTCATAGATGGAAATCCATTAGCATGAGAAGGATCCGCACCCATCAATTTGCCAGGAGATGAGTTAACAAGAATGGTGACATCATCAATGCCATCACTTTCAATCATCGACCATCCCTCATCTGTGAACCCATTAACAGCCTCATTAAAACCCCTGCACAACAAAATATGTTAGATTTCCATGTGACAAAAGGTTAGCCAATCACTGCATGGAACAATCTAAACAACTCGAAAAGCCTACTTGTTCAGTCTCTGGCTAAGTGCACGTAAAGCTACAGGTCTTCTCCCCCAACCTGTGACAGTTGGCTGAGAAACCTCTTGCGAAATCTGCCTCAACTGGCGTAACGCCTGTATGAAAATGATAATGTTATATTAGAGCATATAAATCCTAAGTCCTAATTTTCTCTCCCTACACATTTTTTTAAAAATACATTGTTCTAAGCTTTAAAGAAAACTAAAATTAAAAATAACCTTCCCTGCAAAAGATGATTCATCTTATAAAAGTTGGTTATTAACAACTTTACAAGTAAGACTGATACAGTGCTGACAGACTTTAAACTATTATCAGGATGGAATAGAAAACATTCTTACTGCCATGGTTGCCCTTTGAGAAAGCAAGGTTGATGATTCATACAGTGGGCGCAGCACTTCAGGTACACTCAATGGCTGGTTGACATGATCATTAAGCTAGAATTGTTAATTCATCAATCACAAAAAAAGAGGACTTAAGCAAATGTAGAAAGATTTTTACATACCTCTAAATCCAAATGATCGACAATATGGATGATCGATCCACCCCCTTCGCAGGGTCTTATCAGATAGCCACTTGGCAGCATTTCTGCTCTGACAAAATGCTGCACAGGTGGCATACTAGGACCATTCTGAGTGTTGTTCAGTGATCTTTCACAGACCACAAGGCTTCCATCCTCCAAAACAGATGTATAGCGCAACAACCAGAAATCACGAGCAGGAGCCAAAGTAGTTGGTGCATAGAGCTACATCAAGTATACAAAATAGAAGTTTCTCAAGTAAGTCAACAATTGATCCTAGAACAGATAACCCAGACACCAAGTGCAGAGCACCAACCTGCATGTAAAGTAGCTCAATGGTTCCACCATTTCCAGTAGACATCACGTTAAGAACATCCACAACTCGACAATCATGATACCATGAAGGTCGATTCTTGAGGATTTCAGCCACCTGGTGGAGTGTCACCAATAAAAATTATTGCCAATTCTGAGAAGTGAAACTCTCCCATTACCAAGTGACTGTAACAAAACTTACTCTTGTAGGTTCTAGACCCACAAGGCCACATGCACGTGCTGCCACTCCAGTGCAACCACGAGAAATAGCAATGATTCCAATGGAATCCGGACCAGGCTGTGCCAATCAAAGAGAGATTAGAAGAACATGGAGAACTAATAAAACCAATGTTGGTCAGAAATTTGTGCGAAAGTACGACAGTATAAAACAAAGAGAAGATGTTTCGAACAATTACAAGAAACAGTAGTTTGTATCCTCAAGATGGATATGCCTAATATGTTGCATAGCAGCATAGGCCATGCAGTTAAGATGATGCTCGTAAAGAAAGATAAAATGTACTCTTTTCAATTGTATTTTATGAAAAATGAAATTGTGCAAGTTTTATGGAAAAAGGAAGAAAATTGTAATCCACTAGTGAGCACCCAAGGGTGGAACTATTGAGGGTTCAGGGGGTCTCATGCCCCCCTCACTTGGTATTTTTTTTTTTAAATTATGTTTTATTTTATTTGTGCTAAAAATGCTATGCCTGATTTACTAAAATTAGGGATTTTAATTTGTGGGTATTTGTGTTAAAATTAGAAATTTTGATGTGCTAAAATTAGAAATTTTAATTTGTAGTGATTTGTTCTAAAATTGGGGACTTTGATAAGAAATTATTTATTTTTATTTATAAAAGATGATAAAAGTTGTCGGGATCAATTGTAAAAGTTTACATTGAAAAATTTTGTAATGAATATTTAAGCTTTTATCGTAATATTAGCTCAAAAAAAAAAAATCATCTTATTGTTATTGATTATGAAATAAATAAATAAAAAATATCGAGATTGTCACTAATTATTTCCCCCTCAAGATTAATTTTTTGGTTCTGCGAGCAGCTGTATTGTTTTAGTCAACCTAACCTTCTCTTCCCAAAGAAAACAGGAAAAGAATAAAGAGAATAAAAAACAGAAGCATGGGATAAAGCAAAAGGAATTTACTATATCAAAAGTGGGAATGTGGGATAGTGACTGACATGATGCAGTAGTCTGGGTGTTGCTTGGAGGGTTAGCAAGTGTCTATTGGTTCATGTCAATAATATAATAAACAGGAATGGAGTGAAGCTTAACACAATTAAAAAAAAAAAAAAATTTTGACATTAAAGAAGGCATTAACCTTCATCCCAGGCATTTGGACCCACTCAACAGCAGTTCCAGTGGCCTTTGACAGAAACTCTGTTAAAGTCTCCTCTGCAATGGACAAAAGTCTAGAAAACATACAAGCACAATCCCATGAGCCATATGAAGTCAAGTAATTGTAACCAACAAGAACAGCAATCGACCAAACGAGAAAAAGAAGCACTTTCCGCTCACTAACCCTGCGGGACTTGCATCCCTTGGTGGATGCTGAGGAGTTAAGTGGTTTTGACCACTCCGTGTCACCACCGATTCACAACTTGTGTCTGTGGTGGCAAGATTTGCCTGCAAATCAGTCAGCATAACCCACAATTCAGAAAACATAAAAACAAAGGGGTCTTGTCATATGCATTTAAATGGTTCAAAAGTTTAAAAACTCTTAATTTGTTGCCAAGAGAATTGAGAATTGAGTAAAATAAAATCACATACAAATTTTGATTCTTATGTTTGTTGATGTTCTAATTTTTCCAAAAGCAAACAACCCCGAAAAGGGACACAATTGCAGGAGAGCAATTTGCATATAAATTTTTATTTTCTTGAGCCTCATCAATTGGTTGAGAACTTCAGATATGAAATTTTTACTTTAAATTTTAATATGTAGAGAAAACGGAGAAAATAGAAAGGAAATGTAGTTCTTTACATTCCGAGTTTGTTGACGAAAATGGCCATTCTCATACACCAACTGTGACACTTGCTTTTGCAGCCTATCATTTTCCTCCATCAACAACTTATTCATTGCTGTTAACTTTCTGTTCACAGCTTGGAGACGAGAGGACTCTTTTCGCTGTTTCTCCCTACATCTGCAAAAACCAAGTACATATATCACTCAATTAAAGACAGTAACAATTCAATACAATACAATACAGGAGGCATCCAAAAGGCTAGAAATTCATCAAAAAGTTATATTTGAATTCCATACAATACCTTCGGTTCTGAAACCAGACTTTGATCTGCTTTGGCTCAATGTTAGAGAGAATTGGGCATTCGCGAATCAGCTGTTGCCGGCGAAGTGAACTTGGTTTTGGACAATCATGGTAGACCCTTTCCAGAGCTTCAACTTGCTCCGGCGTGTACCTCACATATTTTCCATTGTCCATCATCCCCATTTTACCCTCTTTGCAGGCCGAAGTCACCGCCATCATCACTTCAAAATCCAAAAAATCAAATTCCTTAATTTTCACAATCAAACAAAAACCCTTTTCTTTTTTCTTTTTTTGGTATTAAAATTAAGATATGCAATTCTTTGTCAATTCTCCAAATCAAACAAGCATAGAAAAAAAAAACTAATCTGCAATGCCTACTACAAACAATCAGACTAACCAAGCAAATCCTCTTCCTCTGCTAATATTGAAGCAATCAAATTGACAAAAGTCCAATAGCTTTCAAAACTCAAATCAAATTCTTAAGACAATCAAACACGAAGCCACCACTTTGTCCACGCATACATAGATAAGTACATACATATATACATATATATATATATATATATAGTGAAGCTTGTGTGTGAAGTGTGAAGCTTTGAGATTATTCAAAGGCAAATTAAGAAAAGTAAAGCGAGAGAAGGAGAGAAACCGCCATTACCTTATTCTTTGAGCCGAAAGGTTGCCGACTTTTTAACTCGCGACTACCACGTAGCATTGAAGGCGATATTTTTAGATATTTCCATTACAGGATCGTCGAGAGAGCTCGAATGATCTTCAAGTTCTAGTTTTGTAAGGCTTGGAAATTCTGTAATTACACGAGAGAAGAGAACATAGAATACGAACGGACAAATAAAAGAAAGAGCTTTCGGTGTCCAAGTGAGTCTTGTGATTTTGTCGCACTGGTACTGCTCCTCTATGCGTATATAATATAGGAATTTGGCTTCACGCAGGTTGAAATTTGAACTGGATTAGGGAGATTATGTTTGACTGAAAAAAATCATTAAATGTAAGGTTCTTATTAGTAAGATTTTTTTTAAAAAAAAATTCTGTTTAATGATTCTTTTTAATTAAAATAATTCGTTTAATGATTTTTTCTGAATAAACATTTTAACTGTTTAGTCCAATTCTCAACTTGAGTCAAATCATTTTCATATTAGGAATTGTTTGCATATTTTTTAATTTTTTATTAAAAGATAGTATAAAAAAATAAAGAAAATAATATAATTTTAAAAAAATTAAAATATATATATATATATATATTTATAATGTAGTTCAAATAGGTCATGTTTGTTTGGGTGGACATGAGTTTGGGATTTGACTAATAGTCCAATAAAATTATTAATCTATTGTTTGGTTAAACAATTGCAATACGGACTAACAATCCACCAGGATATGGTGTTCTACATATGATGAACTATTCAATCCCACAGACAGGGGTGAAATATAAATTAGAGGACTAAACTAAAGTCTGGACTATTAGTCCTTTCTCATAATCCTACCTAATCCAAACATAAGATAGGATACACAATTTAAAGGGATTTGTAATTTTAGGACTATTAGTCATGAAAATGCTAATCTAACCTAATACAATCCGTCCAAGTAAATACAGTCATATATACTGTCTAGAGAGATTGTAGTAGAGGGAAGACAATGTGAGGGACTTTAGAAATCGGGAACGACAAAGGAGAGACAGAAGGAAGGGAAATTATTTATTATCTCGGGGATAAATTTAGGTGATATTTTAATCTTAGTATTATTGATTGGAATAGTAAATTTTACTACTTATTTGTCTCCTTTGAAAAGACAAAAAGACACTTATCTAAATTTAAGAGTGCTGCTATTAGCACTTATCAAAATTCTTTGGATCCCCCATTTTATAATTTTTTTTTATTACAATTATACCCTAAAGTAAAATTACATTAAAAGACATTATTAAATGTACCCTAAGTAAAATTACATTAAAATGCATTATTAAATGGAACACTCACATATCAATAAGAACTAACACTCTATAATATTGGACACCTACCCCCATCTCCACCTCCAACTCCAACTATACGTATTCCATCTTTGTAAACCCTAAACCTATTACTTTTCATAACCAACTAACACAAACCCTAAATCTATTATTTTTCATAATCATATTAAATCCTGAATGTGTCATCTTCATCACGATCATCAACGCTATTAAACTTGAAAGTTTTGCTTCAAGTATAACGTATACTTCATCACTTATTTCACTGTGTAGAGCAATAGAGGACGAGGACAACAATTCTAGTGAGACCGGTGTTCCATTGGTAAGTTTATCTGTCTTGTATTAACATTCTCGATCTTTTTCGGTCGTTCTTGTTTCGTTCGAGCTATTCAGTACTGGTTTGCTGACTGTTAGAATTATGTTCGGTAATACACTACTGAACATAATCCTTTCGTTCAATACATAGGTTCTGAATATTAATGCAGATAGTTAGTACTGTTGAACCGAATATCATCTTTATTTTCATCACTGTTGAACTGAACAAAACCATTAGTTTCGAGACTGTTGAAATGAACATCATTTTTTCAATTTTGAAATTACATTCACACATGTTTTCAGGGTGATGCTTCGACTAGACGCAGTAAGGTTGATTCAGAACTTGTAATGGATTTTAGTAATGAATTTGTTACTCATGAGGCGAGTCTTTGATTGTTTTACAAATAATGTACCTTTTTATGTACAATAATTGGTTAGTTTAATTTATTTATTTTAGATATTCAAGAGTCGAGATGAGTTAATTCGATGGGTACGTCAAGTTGGAAGAAGAAATGGATTTGTTATTGTCGTGCAGAAAGCAGATGGAGGTGGTATTCGAGGTAGGAAGCCAAGAATTAACTTAGCTTGTGAGATGAGTAGATCTTATAGGAACACTCGAAAAAACAGCAGGCCTAAGACAAAAAAAAGCAAGACTGACTGGTACAAAAAAATGTGAATGTCCTTTTTTATTGAAGGGCAAAAAATTAGCCACAAATGATGACTGGATCTTGATAGTTGTTTGTGGTGTGCAAAATCATCCTGCTGCAGAATATCTTGAGGGTCATTCTTATGCTGGAAGGTTGTCACATGAGGAAACCTCTTTGTTGGTAGACATGTCGAAGAGTATAGTACGACCGAGTAAGATATTGGTTACATTAAAACAACGTAATGATGCAAATGTTTCCACAATGAAGACAATTTACAATGCACGTCATAGGTATAAAGTTGCTGAGAAAGCTGGGAGATCTCAAATGCAACAACTATTAGGTTAGTTAGCGATGAAGAAGTACATTGAGTGGCATAGAAGCTGTGCAGGTACTGAGACAGTGACTGATTTGTTATTTGCACATCCTACAAGTTTGAATTTGTTACGTGCATTTCCAAAAGTATTGTTAATGGATTGTACTTATAAGACCAATCGATATCGGTTGCCCCTTCTAGAGATTGTAGTTGTGACATCGATAGACATGACCTTTTTCAGTTGCATTTGCATACCTCCAGTATGAGAAGGAGGATAACTATACATGGACACTTGGTCTTTTGCGTAATGTCATGGATGAAAATACTCTCCCTTCTGTTGTTGTCACAGATAGAGAATCGGCCCTTATGAATGCCATATGTACAGTGTTTCCTACAACTACAAATTTGTTGTGTAGATGGCATATTGGAAAAAATGTGCTTGCTAATTGCAAAAAGATGTTTAAGACAAAGGATAAATGGGAAATGTTTATAATGAGTTGGAATATGTTGGTTATGTCATCGTCTGAAGAAGTATACATGCAACGACTGTCTTTGTTATATAGTGAGTTCAGTACTTATGAAGATGCACTTCATTATGTTACCTCATCTTGGTTGGATACGTACAAGTCGAAATTTATGACTGCTTGGACTGACACATTTATGCACTTTGGAAATTCTACAACAAATAGGTAAATACGAACATTTAAATTATTAGTTGTTTGGTTTTTTTATAACAGTTTATTTTCATATATAGAGTTGAGAGTTCACATGCAAAACTTAAAAGATATCTTGGATCAAGTCAATGAAATTTTGAGTCGAATTGGACAAGGATACACAATTTACTTGAGTTGCAACATAGTGAAATAAAATCATCATTTGAGAAAAACAAGATAGTTGTGCAACATGATTTCAAACCTGCGCAGTTTAAGGAGCTTCGTGGTAATGTCTTAATTACTGCATTAGAGATCTTATTGGCAGAGTCTAAACGAGCATCTTCTGTTGGTATTGATATTACTACATGTGGATGTGTTGTTCGACGTACTCATGGTTTGCCATGTGTACATGAGATAGCAAATTACATGAGGAAAAATCGGCCAATTCCCCTTTCATCGGTTTATTCATATTGGACTAAGCTTGATATGTTGAGTACCCCACACACTGTAAGTGAAGAGTGGACTTGTACACCTAAGTTAGAATTGTTTGCCAAACGATTCGAGGAGGTGGATCCAAATATGAAGAGGTTTTTGTTACAAAAATTGAGGGAGTTAGCCAAACCTGATTGTACATTTTTTATTGAGCCGGAATTGAAGTCTAATCCACGGGGTCGACTAAAATTGAAGATTAAGACCTCCACTCGTCGTGAGCCATCTGCGTTTGAAATAGTTGCTTCAGCACAAGATAGTTATTCACCCGGAGTCATTGCCAAGGCGAGTGTAACAACAAAAAAGGTGAAAACAAAGAAGAAAGAAAAGATACATGGTTTACTAATGAGGTATGTAATTGTGTCATGTTATCTACTTTATTGTCTAACATTGGCATTGGCCTGTGATAGGTTCACCAGTTTCGATCATTGAATCCAAATTGCTTTTTAGAGGCATTCCCTTCTGAATTGAGACGATATATTAAATACGTTAAGGATGTTGCAGCAGATGGCAATTGTGGGTTCCGAGTTATTGCTGGTTTGATGGGTTTTGGAGAAGAAGGATGGTTACAAGTGAGAAAAGATTTACTTAAAGAGTTACATGAGCATAATGACCACTACAGGAAATTATTTGGATCACAAGAGAAAATCGATGACCTTACCAACATCTTGGCATATTTTGAACCAAACCCTGGGGTTGGACCGGTGGATGACGATGCCTAACATGGGTCATCTTATATCGTCTTTCTACCTCGAATCCATAATTAAACCATGAATTTTGGACTGTTCATTATCTTCCAAGTTGAATGACCATTCTCCAACTTTAAAACAATGATTTAAGCATTTAAGTATTCTACGTTCCTGCAACATAGAATAAAAAAAAAGGAAAAAAAAAAGAATTAGTAAAGTTGAAACAAAATTTAAAACATTAAATTAATGTAAGACAATGACTTACATCATTATGCCAAATTTTGGCTGCTACGTGACAATGAAAACTCTTCAAAATTGAAGGATTATATGGCCCTCTAGGAAAAGGTCCAGTAAGATCTTCATTAACTTTTTTCAGTTGTTGGTTGGTCTTCATAGTCACCCATGTCTGTTGGTTCATCACCCAAATCATCACCTATGTGTGTTGGTTTATCACCCATATCTATTGGTTCATCACCCATGTCACTCACATTCAATTGATTGCCCCAATCGTTTTCAACCTCAACCGTTTTTGCTAGAGGAGCACCTATGTCATTCATGTCATGTTCATTAACTCCACTACCTTGATCCTTAGTCTTATGAGTGCGTCGAGGTCTCTTAGCCACTTTTTGAGAAAGTACAACATTACGTCTCCTAGATGCTGTTGGGCGATCTCGAGCAGTTTCCACCATAGCTGTCCACCAAGTACAATTAGATGTGTCATTGAAGCCTATCTTAAATAGGTGTGTCATGACCAATTCTTATTTACCTTCTTTTAATACAATAAACAGACCACAGTATTTTATTGAGTTTTTTAATTTTTTAGCATACTGCAACAGGAAGATGCATGTTATGACCTGAATCTGAATGCTTAAAGCTTTGCATTTTGATATGAATTGTAGTTATGATTTAAGCCTCATTTGGGAACAAGCTATACATAAAAGAAATACAATTGTTTATAAATGTAATTCTTTACATGTTATAGACTACATCTCCTCAGGGAACCACTGAAGTATATAATAGAATGGAAGTCTTGCTGCTAACTAATAGACCCTTATAAAAGAATCAAAAACATTAATAGACCCTTATAAAAGAATCAAAAACATTAATCAAATCATTTGCCAAAACCGACAGAGGCTTACAGCATTATGAGTATGGCAAGTCATACTTAGGACACAGAAGGTGCATGTTTTTAAGCAGTGTAAAATTTCTAAAGATATTTGATATATATTGAAGCATATGGTTTTCCTATAAATGAATTACTTTATTTAAATCTATTCTCCATGTTATATCATGTGAAACTAAGGCCGGTTTGTTTATTGCTGTCAATTGCATATTGTCTGCATTTATTGTCTGCATTTACATGTTATAGACTACATCTCCTCAGGGAACCACTGAAGTATATAATAGAATGGAAGTCTTGCTGCTAACTAATAGACCCTTATAAAAGAATCAAAAACATTAATAGACCCTTATAAAAGAATCAAAAACATTAATCAAATCATTTGCCAAAACCGACAGAGGCTTACAGCATTATGAGTATGGCAAGTCATACTTAGGACACAGAAGGTGCATGTTTTTAAGCAGTGTAAAATTTCTAAAGATGTTTGATATATATTGAAGCATATGGTTTTCCTATAAATGAATTACTTTATTTAAATCTATTCTCCATGTTATATCATGTGAAACTAAGGCCGGTTTGTTTATTGCTGCCAATTGCATATTGTCTGCATTTATGTAACCATATATTGGTCAAGGCTAGTCCATCATTTCAAAATAGAAATCTATCTGTTAGTTTTTGTTTCAATTGCCAGCACTGCTAAGAGTGATATGGTGATAGGTGAAAGTTACAAAAGGATGTATGATAAGTAATGGGGTAGACCTTAAGGTTTCTTATCTGCCCAAAGATATATCCTGCTTAGCAAAATAGGAAACAAGTTTGTTTGCCCAATCCCAATTTGTTGGGATGGCTTCTATCAATTAAGTGCTGGATTGAGAAAAAGTGTCTGGCTTTAGGGTTTTGTGTGGTTGTGGTTTTGGTTGGTAAAGGATTTTTTATTTGTGTGGTTTTGATTAATTGAAGAAAAAAGATAAATAAATTATACCTTTGATGGTAGATGAAAAATTCTATAGCAGTAAATCGTACTTTTGTATTAAATTTTCGAAAGTGTTGAATTTCTGAAAAATTGATTTGAAAGTGTTGAAGCACCACTTAATTCGAAAATGTTGAAGCACTTGTAAGAAAAAAGAAAAAGAAAAAAAAAAGTAATGTCCAAAGAAAAGTGTTGAAGCACTTCAGCAGCAAAATGGATAATCGATGTGGAGAAGATGAACACAATAGACCGACGGTCAAGGAAGGAGAGGTATGAAAAATTAGGTAGGTGTGTATTTAATTGTGAAAATATTATGAATATAGATAGATTTAATAATAAATGAGATGTCTAAAAAAATATTATTAAAATTTAGAATTTAAGATTAAGATCCAAAGTAATAAGGGGTTCAAAAAATTTTAGTAAGTGCTAATAGAGCACTCAAATTTAAATGATGTGAAGTAATGCTCCTCAAGCAATAAATAATTCAGTGGAAGGAGACCATTTTGGACAATCATTTCCATTTGCTGCCTTTCTTACCCAGGTCTGTTTGTTGGCAGTGTACGGGGCTAGAAATACAATGACCTTCTTTCTTTGCAATTTTCTAAATTAAATTTTTTTGTCTTACTAAATTTTTTTATTTTTTTAATACACTTAAATTAAATATATCTAAAAAATTAAATATTTATAAAAAAAATATATTTAAAAAATTAATAAATACACAAAATATAAAAAATAAAAAACTACATTTTTGTAATTTTTTTGTATTTTTAGCATTTAGTTAATTTTTTAAAGATTTTTTTTTATAAATATTATATTTTTTAATTGTATTTATATTAAGTATATCTAAAAAATAAAATATTTATTTAAAATATTTAAAAAATTTACTAAAAATAAAAAATATGAAAACTAAAAAATTTAATTCAAAAAATTAGAATCAAATAATGTAATTGCTAGTCCTAAGGAGAGAGAGCAAGAAGAAGATTTGAACTCGGCTGGGTCTAGAGTCTAGAGGAGTAAAACCCTGGGTGGGCCAAGCCGTAAAAACTAAAGGCCTTGAATTTGACTCATTTAAACAGATTAATTTTTAAGTTTGAAAACAGATATATGCACAATTTAACCTAGGCATTGGATTGTCAAAAAATAATTAAGAAGCAGTGCTATACAGAATTTAATTATAAAATATATTTTTTTATGATCGGATGTAAGGGTCAGTTTACGTGTACTTCGATTAATTTCGGGATCTACACATATTGTTCCCTCTACATGGATCGGGCAGAGCCTGCGGACGTAATCCCAAAGAATTGATATCACCTAATGAAAGTTGCATCTGAAACCTGAAAAGGACACATCCTCAAGCCACAAGCTGCACCCACTAAACCAAAAAATTCTACACTATATGATACCCATGTGAGAATTGTGTAAATCTTTTAGTAATTTTCTTAGGGTTTGTTGCATTTCTGTTTTGGTAAATAAAAAAATTATTCAATGTGTTTTTGAGCAAATATATGCAGTGGTTCAATTTAATAATTGAAAAATTTACCTATAAGTCCTAATTTTTGAAACGTTGAACCATTTAGTCCTAAAAGTTTTCTTATGCTCCATTTAGTCCCATTTTTACATCAACATGATGTGAATGATGTAAATAATCTGATGTTTCATTCTATAATTTCAAAATTTATTGAAATCTGATGAACATTAGATGTTTTTCATCCTATATTTTCAAACATTATTGAAATTTGATGAACATTAGATGTTTGAAATCCAATGTTTGTAACATGACTCTGATGTTATTAACATTGTATCTGATATTATTAACATTGTAATGGGACCTTTCAGTCTATAAGAAAACTTTTAGGACTAAACAGTGCATAAGTTATTAATTTGGGATTTGTTGGTGCATCCCCCTTAATAATTATTGGTTTAGACAACAAATTTAATTATTTTTATATTGATATTTCGGTAAACAACGTGATAAATGAATGATATCAACACATAATAATTTTTTCTTAAACTTTGTCATGTGATTTAATATAAATTTTATAGGGAGAGGATTGTCCTTAGGTAACAGTTCACTATGTGGACAGCCAACAATCTTCACCCTTGTATTTATGAACTATACATATCAAAAGGAGTGTTTTTGTACGAGACATTCTAAAATTTTTACATCATAAGACTTTTGTGTTCAATCATTTTTTAGGTTTCGTTTGGAAATTAGTTAGAAAGTTAGGGATATTTTGGGGAGACCAAAAAAAAAATTGGCTTTTAATAAAAAGTCAAAAGTTAGATTATTTGAGCAAAAAATCATTTCGCAAGTTATAAATAAGTCAACTTTCAAAATTACGAAAATACCTTTTTGTGTATGAAAGAGAAATAAAGTAAAGTTGTAATTTCACCGGGGTAATATGGTCAATTTACCTCTTTATCTACTGATGTGATAACATATAAAAATAATTTTAAAAAAAATAAAAAAATAACTTTTTTCCATCTTCCCAATGGCCAATTTACCTCTTTACCTACTGATGTGATAACATATAAAAATAATTTTTTAAAAAAAATAAAAAAATAACTTTTTTCCATCTTTCCAATTGATTTTGGGCATAAGCCAAAAAACAAGGAAATAAGCAAACAAAAAAATTGGGCAAAAACAAAAAAAAAAAAAAAAAAGCGCACAAAAAAAAAAAAAAAAAAAAACTGCTTATTTCTATCTTTCCAGAATAACTACTTAACAATCTATAAAAATTATTGTTTTGGGCACATTTTTAATTTTTTTAAAAAAATAATTACTTTTTAAAAAGGCTAAAGTGGCTTTTTATCCCAAGCATGAGCTTCTCAAATAAAAACTTATCTAACAAAATAAACTTTTAAGTTACAGCTAAACAAAATTAGAGGTATTGTTTGGTTTGATTTTGAAAGAAATTTTTGAGAAATATATTCTACAAATAT